GCTGCTGCTCTGCCTCCTGCGTCGCCTGCTCCTGCTGCTGCTGCGGTTGCTGCAGCTGCGGTTGCTGCAGCTGCTGCGGTTGAGGGTGCTAATGTTGCTGCAACTCTTTACTCAGCGAAACATGCACGAAATCCCGCGCAAAGAGAAGCAACGCGAATCCCCATCGCCAGGCATAGTGTATGCGCCTTTCTTTCGCTACTCCGATTGCCTGCAGTTCTGAATAAATGCTCTAGTCCTTGTAGCCGAATTTCGGGAAAAGAGCAGGCAGCAAGAAAGGCTGTGAAATGAAATAGTAATACAATCCAGAAAGTCCTCCAGGAGTACACGCTGCGGGTGTAGCATGAAAATACTGCCGAAAGGACTCTGCTGAAGAAAGTGAAAAAACTTACGCCTCCGGAGCCTTGTACGCAGTGCTGCCGGTTGAGGCCGCTACTGCAGCCAAGCTAAGCCCAAAGGCCCTACAAAACAGTTTGCATTAAATTATTCATATTAAAGAAATGAAAGTGAAAGAGAAAACTTAGACCGCATGCAACGAAGGAAGTGTGATCTCGATTCGTTCTCCGTTGCAGGGCGTTCTTGAACTTGAAACGTATAACGGCAACCCGCAGGTCGCCACAGTGAATTGCTCAGTTTATTTAAAAAGGGATATAAATTTAATTGTTTCCGTGTTTACATCGCAAATGGTGTTTACGTGGGTACGGCCTGAAGGGAAACCCGAGTATACGTTTCACTGCGGGGAGCTGAACTTGTATCGATCAGCGCAGGAGCTGACTGGCAGGGATTTCTAGTACATTCTCTGTGTGTCGCCTAGTCTTTGTAAAAANGATCAGCGCAGGAGCTGACTGGCAGGGATTTCTAGTACATTCTCTGTGTGTCGCCTAGTCTTTGTAAAAAGCCACTACCTGGAAACATTTTGCAAAGGGTTTGTCATAATATATTTCATTAAGCCCTTTAACGAACGCCAACCAACGGAAATATAAAGAAAGGCCGCACATCCCCCATACCGCCAGACTGCAGACGCCTCTTTTCCCTCGAAGGTTCGTTCACTATGTTTTTGTTTCTTATGTGTTTAATACGCAGCATTATAAACAGGTAATTTTTTCCGTTACTGACAAATTGGTTGAAATCTGGTTTTCACACGCAAAACCGGAGAGGGCCCTTTCTGTAATAGTCCGTGCGCAGGTTACTACAGGCTCCGTGGGGAAGAGCAAGTATGCGCAAAATGCGGCATATACGCTTTTGAGTTGACAAAGTGTATTTAAATAGTGTTTTTAACTCCACATTTTTATTTTATTGCCGGGATATGTTTCCCGCAGCTTCGTTTAAGGGCCTATGAGGCCAAGTACCCCTTCGTTTCTCTAATGGAAGCGAGGGATAGAAAGAGCGTAAGAGCGGAAACGCCCGCCAAAGGCTCCTAATTGTGAAGCTTTCCTTTCTAAATACTACTTAAGTGGGGAGAGAAACGTTCTTCACTCACTCTACGTTGCGCCTTGCTCAAGTCCCTCTGTTTAGCTTGGATTATCTAACGTTACTACGTGTACCTGTATTTGCATATTTGCGGGCAGGCTGGCTCTTGAGGGCCAAGTAAGGTTTTAAAAATTCCCCGCAGCTTTTGCGCATGCAGCAAATGGGGATTGCTTCCTGCTTGCATGCAAGGTTGCCGTGCAGCTCTAGTTGTAACGGGTGCCACAGGGCATGGTAGGCCGCCTCCTCTCCTCCTCATCATTCATTGACCCCTGCACCGGTGTACGCAGGACTGTTGGAAACTGAAGGGAACGTGGGCGGGTTCTTAGCTTAAGTATCTAACTGTATTGCAGCTCATGATGACCCAGGACCCTCGTTATTCTGTTTGTAGCGTGCGTCCTCGCTCAGGCTTCTGCCCTCGATAATCGCAGGGGATCACCGTGAGCAACAACAGAATCGCGATTGGCAATACGAGAGTTGCCAAAGAATCGCCGGTCTCCCCGCCACTCTCGAGGCGTCCTGACCACAGCAGCACCAGTGCGTATGTCTGGTGTGCAGCGGGCTTGGCATGGACTGCGGCACCCTTTCCTGCAACTGTTGCGGGGCAACCCTACATCTAGCCAGTACCCAAGCCGCCCTCTGACGAATAGACTAGCCCTGTATACAGTTGTTGAAGAGTTATTTGGCCCTCAGTGCTCAGCTTGCGCAGAAGAAGAACTTGTACCAGCGTAGTGCAGGCCATCCTACCCTTTACATCCTGGGTTAGGGAAGAGGTTTGTACTTTTCGGACGGAAGAAAGAACGATTCTAGCACATTTACACTCAATGAAGCATATATTGGCCCCGCAGCAGGATAGTGCCCTGCGGCGTGTTATGCAGCAAAAACGGCGGGCGGTGCTGGCGAGCGTGGCATTGTTAAGAATCTACCCTCGCATAATTCACGGGATGAGCTATTTGGATGGAAATTGAGACACTCCAGTCCCCTAACACATAGAACGTAAAGGGGCTCTTGTTGGCCGCCTCGCCCCCTCGCTCTCCATCTTGCAGTTCCAACACCGGTGATCGAGCTCGATGCTGAGCTGCAGCTGAACTCAGTGTGCGAGCTCGACAGGTCAGACCGTTTCATATTTCTGTCTGATGAATCTGCTTTTTCGGGTTTTATTTCAAATTACCAGCATTTGTTGCAGTTTATGTTAGTAGAACGTCGTTTTTAACTCCCTGGGGAGTAACTGGAGGCAAGCAGGAGCAAGCTGCTCCAGCAACCCAGATATCCATTAGCGTTGTCGGCCTCCTGGCCCCCCTAACGCAATGTTCAGGTCTTACATCATCTCAAGCCTATGGTTGTTGCGAGCGATCTCACGCTCCTCTATTTGGTCTCAAACTGGCGGTGACGTTTTGGCGTTTCCGCGGGACAAATTCGAGGAAGTTTTGATGACTGCCGGGGTTGCTCTAGATGCCCGAAATGTAGGCTCTGGTGGCTGCTCCACGCTAGACGAGACGGTACAGTGCACACAGATGCACTGATCGACAAACGAACAGCAAAAGGATATACTATTCGTACCCGTGAACGCTCCTCACAGCATGGGAATCCACTAAGAACAAGTCACGTGCTTTCAGGAAAACGGCAACCGACATTAGCCGTAATATCTCTTGTGGCGTTCATGGGCTTTGCTCACACATTGCGGAACCCACAGAAGTTGGTCCCGGAGGGTGCCCGCTGCGGTTGTAGGGGGCATTCGCATTGCAACCAACTCTAAGCTGGGACCAGCTAACGGTGTTTCGGTGTAAACTATGGCAGCTCGAAAACATCAAGTCCAGGAACGGGCGGCTGTATTATAAATTCATTGCACAAACGGAAGGAGTGCAAGCCGCTACGTTGAATTCTGCTGCGTATAGAGGAGCAAATACTGCATTAGAGTGGTGCTCTTGCGACCTAGTGGTCCGCGGTGGTCCTGAAATAATGGATGTTGCGAGGAGCCATGACGTTTTGCCCGAGTTTTCCAATTAATCTTACGTCCGTGCTAGGTTTTGCGTTGCCCGCGAAATACGTGGGGACCCCACATGCAAACATTAAATGATTGGGCCACTCCCTCTGTTGTGCTAGAGGAGCAAATGAAGAGGGGTTATTCGCTGGGCCTATCCACAGCAGCGTATATGCTGTTGCGGCTTCTCAGTGGTGGTA